CACACTCTGTTTCCTCCTCATGACATCAAACGCCTCTCTAACACACACACATTCATGCAGGCACATCCTGGGTCTGAGCAGAAGAGCAGGATGAACTGTAGAATCAGTTTAGGGATTATTGGCTTCACCCAGGTGGCAGAACCCACCCCTGCTGAGGGCTGTCCATCAAATGACTGAGGGAATCTCACTAAACCTATCAGGAACACGGGTCATATTTCACAGAAAAAAGTATATATATATATATATATATATATATATATATAAATGTTATATATTCATTATTATATTATATTATATTATAATGTTATGTTATGTTATGTTATGTTATGTTATGTAATTTATATGCAGTGGCTTTGCCGACCAATGGCTGACAGATGGATTGTTCAGGAAACCTATTTGCAGTTCTGGCACAGTTTTTCAGATTACAAATTTCAGATTACAAACCTCTTTCAAAACAATAAAATAAAATATATGGTGTTTTTGTTTTTTTTTGTTTTTTTTCGTTTTTATGATAATTAAGCACAAACCCTCCTAATTCTCATTATTTTAATGCAATAAGTAATGTAAAAAGAAAAAAAATATATATATATTATTAAAATATAAAAAATAAATTATTTTACTAATTATTTTATGCATATTTATACATCATAGTTTTAGTTGTACTGCGTTTTATTTATGCTAATTAAAAAAAAATACAAAAAAACATTTTCAGCAATAAAAATCAACTGAAATTGTAATGGAAAAGAAAAGAAAAGAACAGAAAAAGTAAAGTGCCCAGGCTCATTCGAGAAGGAAACATAAAAATGCCTTATCATACAAGACAGAGGGTCAGGGCCCACTAAGGCTTAAAAGTAGTTAAATTAATAAATTATTATTAATATATTAAAATAATCGAACTCTAATCTAAAATAAAATACTTAAAAACACATGAAATCATATTTCCTTTTATTTCCTCTTTTATTTGCTATAATTAAAGAAGAAAATATCTTAATATTTTAATGTTAGGCTTCATTAAAGGTAATGTCTTAGCTCAAATGGGGCGAGAGAGAGGCTCCTTTAAATATTATATTGGACATCTAGGGGCCTTCGAGTCAGAAAGTTTGAAAACCACTGAATTAAGCTTCAATTTCTTTATTTTTTCCCCTTTTTTATATTTATGTATGTATGTATGTATGTATGTGAAATGTGAGCTGAACATTCATGCAGAGATCCTCGTGGGTAACTAGTGACCTGGCAGAGCTCTTACACCCACACTGATGGGGCTGACTGGGCTTTGAGCACCTGGGTGTTTGTTGCGTGTGTGTGGGTGCTGGTCGTGGAGCTGTAGGGACTTGCCCCGAGAGAAATGTTTATCCTACACCTCCTACTCTCAAGTGTGTGTTATTCTCTATCTTGACAGCAGTACTTAATGTGTGACTAAACAGAACACGTGTTGATCAATGTCCTCTGAAATCATCCTGCCCCAGAACACTCCTTAAAGACTTACTACACATTGTTCACAAGTTTAAACACCTCAGGGCAAGAACCTAAATGAAGAGAGATTTTCTGAAGAAAATGTTAGTAGCTCTTACCTGTACAAAACTCACAGCCAAGATGCTAGAAGAATACGAATGTGAGGTAACTAGGGTGGCCACTAAGTGGTTGCTTAATAAGACATATGATTTTGAAGAATTATAAATGTCTGTTACACAAACTGATTGGGACACAGTGAAGTTTAATATGTATGGTTAGAGGTTTGTTCAAATCTCACATGAGCAGTGATAATGACGGTGCTTTGCTCTGCACGGTTAGTAACTGTA